ATCACAAGTATGTTTTGTAGCTTGTAATTGTAGACACGTTAAAGTTAAGAGTCCAATGAATATTTCTCATTTTTTTAAAAAATAAAGAATGGATTTAAAAAATAAAGAATAGGAAAATGTGAAGAAGTATAGTACTTTTGTCAGATAAAAATGGCCTTTGGTAGAGAGTAAAAGGATATGAAGAAATACAGAAAAATCAGGAGTCCCTAAACACAGTAGGTTCACAGAGCATCGAGAGTGCCTATCTTCGGCCACACCTCCAGTTTCGTTAGTTACTCAGGTGCCGGCAGCAAAACCTCGGAAACGGGCCTTAAGTGTCTGTTTTTGAAGGAGTGCTGACCCAGCCTGCTGCAGCTTTGGAGTGCGTTGACTACATCCATGTGGTGCGTTCAGTTTTGTTTTGTTTTGTTTTGTTTACCTCCCACTGGTTTTGAGTGCAGCATATTCTCCTAGTTTGTTTATTTCAGTATCATCCTTAGGCTTTAAAGATTAAAATGATATATACACATTGTAGAAAAATAAGAGCAAAAAGCCACTTATAATCCTATTCCCTGTAGATATTCACTTGCAATTTTGGTATTTTTCCTTCAGTGTGTGTGTTTATGTGTGTGTGTGTGTGTGTGTGTGTGTGTGTGTACACACTACAATGAGATTATTGCGTATGCTTTGTAATCTGCGTTTTCCTCCACTCAGTGGTCCACTCACTACATTTCCATGTCAGTGAGTACTTCTATTAACAATTTTTTAATCCCCACAATATTTTGTTAGAAGCATGTACCCACAGCTTACCCCACCAGTTTTCTGTTTTTAGACATTAATATTTTTTCCCTCCAGTTCGGGATTATTCTAAGCACTATTTTAGTCAACATTCTCATAATGAAAAATCTGAGCCTACTTTAATTACTCTTTTTATGATAAATTTCTTAAGAGTAGAATTGTTGGGTCAAAGTTTATGTGTATTTTTAGCTTTTGATTAATGGTGTTAAATGACCATCTAGAAATGTTCAATTGTTATTCCTATAAGCAGTATATATACAAGTGCCTGTCTGCTAAAGGGACATTAAAAAAATTATTCAGTAACCTTATGATTTGTTGAATGAATTACAAATGATACA